GACCTTTTTGATGCCCTTTTGTAAATAATTTACAGGCGAAGCAAAATACTCTATCAAGTTCCTTAGAATATACAAGCCAATCCCTATCACAGCCCTCTCCATTTGATAAAAACCTAGTATAAAATAGTGCAGAAAACCTTCTGGAAAACCTATCCTTTGGACCCTTCTGAATTAGTAAGTCTCTTTTGGGTCCCTTTTGTGCTAAAATGTCAACTTGTTGACGATCAAGTGAATCCCAATATCTTGGATCAAATATATCAGGCTGAAAAGAATCGCTAGCATCTAAAGAGGGATTCAAGTCATCACTATTTGTATTTGTGCTGCCAGGAAGAGCTTCCTCAACTTCAACATTATTTTTTGAAGGATTTACAGAATCACTATCAATATTATTATCAACTGCTTGCCCATGGTCAGGTGTTGGACTCGGATTATCAGATGACACTTGTGTAGATTTTGTAACAAACCTATCTATAGCTCCTTTCTGGAATTGGACTAAAGCATCTATTCTTCGTTTTTTCTTGAGCTTGTCCCAACCCGATTCAAATTTTCTAGGCCGATTTGATTTTGAAGAAGACATGGCTTCAATATTTGAACAAGTAGTAGGCGTCTAGATGAAAAGATCAGAACAACAAATCTTAGAGATCGACCAATTGCTCGCTATAGAATGTGAATGAATGTTGAATTGGAAAAAAATATGAATGATTAGTATTACCTTTAGGCCTATGGTTCAGGCTTCAGCGTGTGTCGTCTATCGATCGCCTCGCCTTCTGGTGTTCTTGGTGGTGGTGCCGACGGCGTCTCCAGAACCAGATACGTGATACGCAGCAGGCACGCGTGGGACTGGGAGAAAAACCTGCCTGGAAGGTGTTGAGTTTCCTTGTAATTTTATATTTTTTTTTAGTATTTTTCTGTGATTTTTCTGTAATTTGCGACTTGCGAGAGTAAAGCCTGGGGAAAGAGATAGTGGAAAGTGGAAACGTGTAAAGAGAGAGGGAGAGAAAATAAGAGGAGAGAGAAGAATTTGTTGGAAAAGTGATAATTCATTTCTTGTCATTTTCTGCCACATACAAAAACTATTAATAGTAATGATAATGGGCTAACTTAACTCCTAACACAATAAGCCCAAACACATTAAAAATCTTCCCACTAACAATATTAATTCAGCCCAACATAACCCCAAATACAGACATAGTATCAAAAATATAAAAATACTGAAATAATCCTAATTTGCAAAATCAATGAAGTCCTTTTCTGCAGATCCGTCATCTTCAAAAATCGCACCTTTCTTCTCATCTTCAACCTTCTTTTCATCTTGCCCTATTCCCTTGCCAACCTTAGGTCCTTACTCAGATTCATAACAGAAGGCCACCAATTAGGATATATATGTATATGGGTATATATATTTGGAGGCCTGTCAAAATCGGAGGCCGAGAGCAGTCGCTCCGGCTGCACTCCCATAGGGACGGCCCTGG